CGCTAACTTAAATTTGGCGCCAAAATCACTTGTTAAATNTCAGCCTTCCACCAAGCCTTCCTTTTCAACAACATTCAATAGCCTCCCAACATTTATAAAACTAAATGATCATTACATTCTAATAAATGAATAATTATACATTTAAATAAATTTTATTATAATAAATTATTACTATTTAAAATATGATAAGAAGGTATTGTAATTAATAATCTATTTAAATTATATTCATCATTATTATTATAATTTTTATCATGTTTATAAATAACACCACTATTAATTACATTTCTATTCCAAATTAAATTACCATTTATAGTATCTATTTTAATAAATGGAGCATATCTATGTGATTTTAAATATTCTTTACAATATAATTCTTTTGTAACAATTTCACTTGTTAAATATTCTTCAATTTCATTTAATTCATTTTCTAAATCTTGTAAATTAATTTTATTTTCAAATTCTTTATTTTCATTAATTTGATTATTTTTAATTAATTTATTTAATCTATTTTGTAAATTATTTATATTATTATTATTATTATTAGAATGATTGTTATTACTATTAATATTTAAATTATTATTATTATTAGAATGATTATTATTTAAATTATTATTATTAGATTACAATAATATTTAATTTTTAAAGAAATGTTTAATAATTTTTGTTTATAATTTAATAAAATATTTTGAATATAAAAATCATGATGTGAAGTTTTAATAATTAAATTAATTAAATTAGAAATTAAATCTACTAAATAAGTAATTTCATTTAAATGAGTTAAAATATTTATAAATTTAATATTTTCTAAATATTGTTTTTTAAAAATTAAATAAAATTGATTTGATTGTTTAATATTTTTCAAATTATTTTTAAAATTTAATCTCTTTTCTTGTAAATTTAAATTTAAATCATTTACAAATTTAGTAATAAAATGTTCATTTAATTCCTTTTTAATTTTTAATTGTAAATTAGATTTATTATAATTATTAAATAAAATTAAATATTCTTGAAATATTTCATTCCAATTTAATTCAATTAAAATATTTTTTAAATTATTATTAATTTCATTTATATTACTTTCTAAAATAGGTAATGTATTTAATAAAATAAATAATAATTCCATTTGTTTTTCAATTTGATTATTTTTTAAATTTCTAAAATGTAAAATTTGAAAATATTTAACATTACTAAAAATAAAATTAAAAATTAATAAAATTTCTATAAATGATTTATCTAAACCTATATTTGTAGTATTATCTATTAATATACATGATGTATTATAATGATATTCATATAATTTTGTAATATTTTCAATACATTTATTTAATATTTCATAATATTTAATAAAATTACCATTTTTAACATTTTCATTACCAAATATATATTTCATCCAAATCATTGAAGGTAAAATTAATTTATTTTCCATAAATTTTTTAATTGAATTATAATATTCAATTGATATAAATGGTGATGTTAATTCTTGATTTTTTATATTATTTAAATTATTTAAATTATTTAATTGTTGATTATTATTATTATTATTAATATTATTATTATTATTATTTAATTGTTGATGGTGATGATGATTTATTTGATTATTATTATTTACATTATTTACATGTTCATGTTGTTGTGATGATGATTGTTGTAATTGTTGTA